CCCTGGGTAGAGTGCCATGGCATCACAGCTCACAGCAACCTCCAACTCCTGGGCTCAAGCGAGTCTCCTGCCTCAGCCTCCCAAGTAGCTGGGATGACAGGCGCCCACCACAACGCCTGGCTATTTTTTTTTGGTTGCAGCCATCATTGTTGTTTGGCGGGCCCGGGCTGGGGTTTCGAACCTGCCACCTTAGGTGTATGTGGCTGGTGCCTTAGCCGCTTGAGTCACAGACGCCGAGCCAATGGTGGTGGGGTTTCAAGAGAGGTAAGGCTCAGGTGCCTTCCTCTGCTCCCACCATCCAGGACCCTGGAATACCTGCTCAGGCACCTGGCTCGCATGGCAAGACACAGTGCCAACACCAGCATGCATGCCCGCAACCTGGCCATCGTCTGGGCACCCAATCTACTACGGTAAGCTGGCTGTTCACCAGCCTGCACCCTCAGCTCCCTCCTATGGGGCAGGCCTTAAGCTTTCCCCCAAATCACCCAGAAACCTCCCCGACTTTTGTTCTCTTGTTCATTCATTTAATACATATTTGGTTGGGGTTTTTTTTTTGTTTGATTGTTTTTAAGACAGAGTCTCTCTCTGTTGCCCTGTCTAGAGTGCTGTGGTGTCATCATAGCTCACAGCAACCTCAAACTCTTGGGCTTAAGCCATCCTCTTGCCTCAGCCTCCCAAGTAGCTGGGACTACAGGCATCCACCACAAAGCCCAGCTAGTTTTTCTATTTTTAGTAGAGACAGGGTCTCGCTGTTGCTCAGGCTGGTCTTGAACTCCTGAGCTCGGGCATTCCACCATCTTGGCCTCCCAAAGTGCTGGGATTACAGGCATGAACCACTGTGCCTGGCCCATTTAATACATATTTGTCAAGTACCTCCCACGGACTTAGCCTTGTTGTTCCTCACTGGCGATGCATAGTGAGGAACACTTCCCCCGGGGCCCACATTTTCATGGAGGAATTCACAATGAATCATCAACAAGAAGAATACAGAATAATAATGTGTGATGGTGATGAGCGCCAAGGAGGAAGATAGGAAGCAAGGGAGGTAGGTGCCCAGGATCATGGTAGTTTAAAGTTTTCAGCTAGAATGGCAGGGAAGGCTTCAATACTTCTACCACCAACAGCAGGGTAAAGCCCTAGAGGATTTGATGGTGACCAAGACAGGCATGATCTCTGTCCTGGAGGAGTTCACATTCTGTTGTTTTTTCTGTTTTTTTGTTGTTGTTGTTGTTGTTGTTGTTGTTGTTTTTGAGACAGAGTCTAACTCTGTCGCCCCTGGTAGAGTGCTATGGCATCACCCCTCACAGCAACCTCTAACTCTTGGGCCTAAGTGATTCTCTTGCCTCAGCCTCCCGAGTAGCTGGGACTACAGGCGCCCGCTACAATGCCCAGCTATTTTTTGTTGCAGTAGCCACTGCTGTTTTAGCTGGATGGGGCGGGGTTCGAACCCGCCACCCTTGGTATATAGGGCCAGTGCCCTACCTACTAAGCCATAGGCGCCGCCCCAGCGAGTTCACATTCTTCTGGGGACACAGACATGTGAATAAGTAAAACAGGTGGTACATCAGAGGGTTGGCATGAGAAGTATGGGGGAAAATAGAAAAGAAAGATCTGAGGTCCAGAGAAGGAGGTTTACAATTTCAAACAAGGTGGATGGGGAAGACTCCATTGAGAAGGTAACATTTCAGGCAAAACCTGCAGGGGATGAGGGAGGAACCTATGTGCCCATCTGGAGAGGAACACCAAGTACATAAGTCAAGTCGTGTGTTGAAGGAACTTCAGGGAGGCTAGTGTGGCTGGAATTGAATGAGCAAGTGAGGGGTTGAGAGAGAGGACATGATCAGATCAGAGAGGTGACAAGGGACCAGACAGAGCAGTAACATGGGTCAAGCTGAGAACTTTGCTGTTACCTGGAGCAACGCGCCCCTGAGGCAGGCCCCTGAGCCAGGAGGGCCCAGACCTGAACTAGGTTTCCCAGGTTCCCTCTGGCTGTGGGTGGGGACCAGACCATGGAGGCAGGGATGGGAGCAGGAGACCAGGGAGGAGGCTGCCAGGATGTCCAGATGGGAAGGGATAGGGGCTGGGCCACAGTGGGGACAGTAGAGGGGAGAAGAGTTTAGACTCTGGAGAGATTTTGACAAATTGGATGTGGCTGGGAAGGAAAGAGAAGGCTGAAGGACAACCTCAGGGTGTTTGGGGTTGACTGAGCTGGGGATGATGGAGAGGGAGCAAATTTGGGGAAAGGCTGAGAACCTAGTTCTAGGTGTGGTCATTTTCAGGTCAGAGGCATTGAACCGACAGTTGTTGCCTTCATTGGCTTCACTGGGCGTAGCCAGAACCTGCCATCTGGGGCTCAAGGCACCTGGCCCCTCTCTTCTCCTATCCAGGTCCATGGAGCTGGAGTCAGTGGGGCTGGGTGGGGCGGCAGCCTTCCGGGAAGTTCGGGTGCAGTCAGTGGTGGTAGAATTTCTCCTCACCCACGTGGATGTCCTGTTCAGTGATACCTTCACCTCTGCTGGTCTTGACCCTGCAGGTATGCTCATCACAGCCCCTGACGTCATGGCTACTGCCCCTTCATTGTCAGGGCTGCAGTGGGAGGGCAGGTGGGCCCCAGCCCTATCCAAATCCCACTGAAGTCGGGCTTCCCTCCTGGCTCCTTGAGGACCCCGCCCCGGCCTATCCCTCCCCGCGCCCCACCTCCTTCTCATTTCAGCTCCTACGCTCAGGATTCCCACTTCTTGGCCCGGACGCCGTTCTTCCTTCACCCCTTGTAGTTCCTGGGGGCCCTTGGGGCCATGGGTCCACCTGGGAGGAGGTGGGAGGTTCCCAGACTTGACCCCACCCTGGCCCTGCCCAGACTCCCTGCCCAGCCCAGTCAGGATTCAGCACGTCGGAGGGCCCTCTGGCCCGAGGTAACAAGCCAGAGCCGCTGCCCTCACTGGCTGCTGGGAGCTGCCTCCTCATCAGCCTGTTCTGCCTCACCTCTCCTCCTCACTGCCTGCTGCCCACCCATTCCCACCTGATCAACCCTGGCCCCCTGCCTTGCCAGCCCGGGTGGGCACGCTGCGGGGCCGGGGCTTGGGCTGTGGCGCTTGGCTTTGCCTGTGGCCTTGGGTGGCCCCAGAACTGACAGCTACGTCTCCAAACTCCCCAGGCCGCTGCCTCCTCCCCAGGCCCAAGTCGCTTGCAGGCAGCAGTCCCTCCACTCGCCTGCTAACGCTGGAAGAAGCCCAGGCTCGCACTCAAGGCCGGCTGGGGACACCCACTGAGCCTACAACTCCCAAGGCCCCAGCCTCACCTGTGCAAAGGTAAGTGGGATGCTGCGGGGGAGAAGTGGGCAGGCCCAGGCCCTGGTTTCTCAGACTGACTCCTGCTTCTTACCCACACCCCAGGAGAAAAGGGGAGAGAGGGGAGAAACAGAGGAAGCCAGGGGGTAGCAGCTGGAGGACATTCTTTGCACTGGGTCGGGGCCCCAGTGTCCCCCGAAAGAAGCCCCTGCCCTGGCTGGGGAGCACCCGTGCCCCACCACAACCTTCAGGTCAGAGGCGCTACATGGTGGGCGGGAGGTGGTCTGTGGTGTGCCCACCTCCCTCTCCTACCCTCCTACCTGTCCTCACAGGCAACCGATCTGATACGGTCACCCTGAGATCTGCCAAGAGCGAGGAGTCTCTGTCATCGCAGGCCAGCGGGGCTGGTGAGGACAGGCTGGGCCCTACTTGTGGTCAAGTGGAGCTGGGAGGGGCTGGGGCCCTCGTTTAACCTTCAAATGTTGTACTTCATATTTGGCAGTCCTGGGGTGTTTAAAAATTTTAATCAGGACTTTAGGTACAATGAGCTAGATAAAATCACCTTTGGTTCACTACACGTTGTGCCCTTTGGTCCATGCAGGATCCTTTCAAGCAGTCTTTTAATTATTCATGCCTTTTGAAAATAATTTTAAATAATGTTATGAATACCCATGAACCCCCTGGCCAGAACCAGAAGAACCCCAATACCTTACCTGTGAGTTCCTCCCCTCTCCCATTTGCTGCCTCACCACCAGAGTTGTCCTGTGAATTCCATGTCCTCATTCCCTTGTTAGGGTTTTATCAGATACAGATATATGTGCAATAACATATTTCTCAGTTCTAGTCATTCATTTCTGAAACTTTATTTAAAGGGTGTCATTGAGAAAGGGGGTATCACACAGTGTGTGGGACTTGACTTCACCGCACAGTACAAACTACCATCCATCCACACTGCTGAATGTGGCTCAGGCTCTTTTCTGTTGCTTCTACTGTTCCGGTGAATTTGGAGGCTCTTATGACAAATCTCTGCCACACTCAGGCTCCTGGGAGATTGCTCTGCCATGTACACCTTCAGGTTGTATAGGACAAGGCCCACTTGTTTTCCAAAAGCAGTTATCTCATGTTTTTTTTTTCTTTAAAGACAGAGTTTCACTGTCACCCTGGATAGAGTGCTATTGTGTCATAGTTCACAGCGACCTCAAACTCTTGGGCTCATGCCATCCTCTTGCCTCAGCCTCCTGAGTAGCTGGGACTACAGGTGCTGGCCACAGTGACTGGCTAGTTTTTCTATTCTTAGTAAAGAAGGGGTCTCACTCCTGCTCAGGCTGGTCTCGAATTCCCAAGCTCAAGCCATCCACTTGCTTCTTCCTCCCAGAGTGCTGGGATTACAGGTGTGAGCCACTGCGCCAGCATTCCTGGTTCTCTTCAAGGTTTTGCCTTATCACCCACAGGTCTGAACAGCTCTTCCCTGGCTCACAGTCACTGTGGGCACCTCTCCAGGGAAGCGTCTCTTCATGCTCTTCTCCCAGCTTTCTGTTGAACAGTGTGCCCTATTCTCTCTGATGGATAAGCCTGTGAAGTTCTGACCCCTGGCCCCTAATTTCCCCCTTCTTCATCCTTCTAGGCCTCCAGAGGCTGCACAGGCTACGGCGGCCGCACTCCAGCAGTGATGCTTTTCCTGTGGGCCCAGCACCTGCTGGCTCCTGTGAGAGCCTGTCCTCATCATCCTCCTCTTCATCCTCCTCCTCGACCTCCTCCTCATCCTCTGAGTCCTCAGCAGCTGGGCTGGGGGCACTCTCTGGGTCCCCCTCACACCGAACATCAGCCTGGCTAGATGATGGTGACGAGCTGGACTTCAGCCCACCCCGCTGCCTGGAGGGACTCCGGGGACTTGACTTTGATCCCCTTACCTTCCGCTGCAGCAGCCCCACCCCAGGGGACCCTGCACCTCCTGCCAGCCCAGCACCCCCAGCCCCTGCATCTGCCTTCCCACCCAGGGCAACCCCACAGGCTCCCTCACCTCGTGAACCCACCAGCCCTGCTTCACCCACTGCCCTGGACATCTCAGAGCCTCTTTCTGTGTCAGTGCCACCTGCTGTACTAGAACTGCTGGGGGCTGGGGGAGCACCTGCCTCAGTCTCCCCGACACCAGCGGTCAGCCCTGGCCCAGGCCTGCGTCCCCATCTCATCCCACTGCTGCTGCATGGAGCCGAGGCCCAGCTAAGCGACCACTGCCAACAAGAGATCTGCAGCAAGCTAGCACTGCCTGCTCCCCGGGGAGCCCAGAGCCAGTATGGTGAGTGCTGTTCAGCCCACCCCACACTCTCACAGACCCTAAGACCACCCCAGGACCCAAGCTGAGCCCCCTTTTCATTCCCTTCTGTGTAGGTCCTGGTATGGATTCACCGTTGCTGCCCCCACCCCTGACCCTCCTGCGCCCTGGTGGTGCACCACCTCCACCCCCCAAGAACCCAGCACGCCTCATGGCCCTGGCCCTGGCTGAGCGGGCTCAGCAGGTAGCAGAGCGACAGAGCCAACAGGAGCATGGGGGCACCCCACCTGCTCCCCACTCCCCTTTCCACCGCTCACTGTCACTGGAGGTGGGCGAGGAGCCCCTGGGGACCTCAGGGAGTGGGCCACCCCCTCACTCTGTAGCCCAGCAGGATGCCTGGGCCCCAGGACTCCAATCCTACTTACCAAGGCAGCAAAGTGATGGGAGCCTGGTAAGGGGCCAGCGACCCATAGGGACCTCAAGGAGGGGACTCAGAGGCCCCACCCCAGTCAGCACCCAGCTCAGGGCAGGTGGTGTATACAGGGATGTGCCAGAAACAGCAGCCCAGTCCCCATGTTCTGTCCCTTCACAGGTTCCTACCCCTGGCTTCTTCTCCCCAGCTCCCAGGGAGCGCCTGCCACCCTTCCTTGGGGTCCCCAAACCAGGCTTATACCCCGTAAGCCCCATGTCCTTCCAGTCTAGCTCCCTAGCCCCAGTATGGAGAAGCTCCCTGGGCCCTCCCACACCACTCGACAGGGGAGAGAACCTGTACTATGAGATAGGGGCAAGTGAAGGGTCCCCCTATTCTGGCCACACTCGGTCCTGGAGTCCCTTTCGCTCTATGCCCCCTGATAGGCTCAATGCCTCATATGGCATGGTTGGCCAGTCGCCACCTCTCCACCGGTCCCCCAACTTCCTGCTCAGCTACCCAACGCCCCCCTCCTGCTTTCCCCCTGACCACCTTGGCTACTCGGCGCCCCAGCACCCTGCCCGGCGTCCCACCCAGCCTGAGCCCCTCTATGTTAACCTATCTCTAGGGCCCAGGGGTTCCTCACCTGCCTCTTCCTGCTCCTCTTCTCCTCCTGCCCACCCCCGAAGCCGTTCAGATCCTGGCCCTCCAGCCCCCCGCCTCCCTCAGAAACAGCGGGCACCCTGGGGCCCCTTTACCCCTCATGGTGTACCTGGACCCTGGGGGCCTCCCGAGTCACTCCAAGTCTATAGGGCAGCCCCACCAGCCTATGGGAGGGGGGGCGAGCTCCACCGAGGGTCCTTGTACAGAAATGGAGGGCAAAGAGGGGAGGGGGCTGGTCCCCCACCCCCTTACCCCACTCCCAGCTGGTCCCTCCATTCTGAGGGACAGACCCGAAGCTACTGCTGAGCTAGAGCTGGGAAGCCCCTTCCTCCGTTCCCTTCACCCTCGCTGGATCTTGGCCCAACCTAGTCCCTTTTTTGTACTTTGAGCTCCTGACCCTACCCCAGGTTTCTAACTTTGTACTTGTTTCTGATGTGGATCCCTAACCAATAATCATAGCTTTCCTACCCTGGGCAGAGGGGTACACCCTCCCCCCGCCACCATCCTCCATCCTGGGGGCCCTCACACAAATCTGAGGGAGGGCTAGGCTGACACCTTGTCCTCCCTTTCCCTCCAGGAGCCCCCAGCATGTCCTGATCTGTGCACAGGGGGCACGGGGACAGCTCCAGCCCTTCTTTCCCTACACACCCCACTAAACCATCTGACAAAATTAATGAATAAAAATGGTGAAAATGTGACTGCTGGGGTCACGCTGGGGCCAGACTCAGTGAATGAAGAAACACAGACGGGTGGCTCTATCATTTTATTTTCTCTGGGACAGGCATTGAGTGGGGAGTTACTTCTGGAAGGCTCTGTGGAGTGGCATCTGCAGAGAGGGCACCATGGGCACTCCAGGAATCTGTGTCAGGAGTGGGGCCAAGGTCAGATAAGTGGGGTTTGTCTCTGGGTTGGCATCTTCTTTGAAGCTCTGCTGTTATCTCCTCCAGCAGATCCATCCTGGGGAGCAGTGGGGTGTGGGACCTAAGGGCTACTTCAAGGATGAGGAAGGGGCCCAGGCCTCCACCACCACGCCCCTTTTCTTACTTCTGCAGACTGGAGAAGAAACTTCCTTCAATCAGCTCAGTACTGGGTGCCTGTAGGAGGAAAAGGGGGTGGGAGTGGGCACAGGATGGACTCAGGGACCTTTGTTTAGCCTGCCCTGGTGGCCTTCCCTGCCAGCAGTCTCCCAGGGTGTGGGAAGCCTCCATGGGTCAGCAGGCAGGGTGTGGGCTCACAGGGCTGGGGATCCAGTGGGGTAACCCTGTGAGCGTGCCGCAGCAGTTTGGATCTTGGCTGAGAACTTCTCTCAAACTGCTCCACAGAGCTCTGGATCCCCAGCAGGGAAGCTGAGTACTCAAGGCTGGAGTGTAGGGCAGGGCCCTGGGGGAAGCAGGGTTGGCCAGGGGTCACAGGTCAGGGGACAGCTGGGAGTCCTTGGGGGCCCTGGAAAGAGGGGAGGCAGCCAGGGAATTTGGGGGTGATGACTACTGGGGGGCAGGGGTCACAGGTTAGTGATGTGATGGTCTTACAGGGCCCTGGGGTATCCATACTATTGAACTGAGCTGCAGACAGCAGTTCAGGCTGACCCTGGCTGTGGGGCTGTGGCTGGGGCCAGGGCAAAGGCTGGGGCTGGGGCTGCTGTCTAGAGTCAAGCTGCTGCCTGAGTCCCAGGCTGCACCACTCTGGACCCCGCTGTGGCCTGTGACCTCAGGAGTCTCCAGAGCCTGCAGAGAGCAATGTCAGAGAGTTGACATGGGTTGCCCAGGTGTCCCACAGCTCTCTCGGTCCCTTCTATCACTGCCCTGACTCCTACCTGGGATGGAATGGGGCCAGGGGACATCACAGGTGGCACAGGCCTGGGTGTGGTCTTGGCTCTGGGAGCCACATCATAGTATAGTTTCTCTATGGGGACAGACCAGTTGGTTGGATTGAAGAGAGCACAGCTGAACTGTGCCCAGTGCCCACCATCACCCACTCCTGCCCACTCACCTGGGGAGGAGCCCTGCAGTGCAGAGGACAGTGTGGTCCACTCTGTTGGGGAGCTCACCTCAGGAACTGAGTCCTGTGGAAGGGAAGCTGAGTATGGGGACACAGGCCCTGCCTAGGGTTCCATAGCTGCCATCCACCCCTGCTAACCTGTCCTGTACCTGGGCCATGGCCTCCCGCAGCAGGTATCGAGTACTCTGCAGGCTGCCCCAGCGGTCAGCAGGCCTTAGGCCCAGCCCAGCCTGAATCAGGGCCTGGTAGGGGGCTGGTACCAAGGGGTCCAGGGCCAGGCTCTCACCTGCCTCCAGCTTGGCCTTCACCTCAGGGCCCTCTCTTCCAGCCCAGGGCAGCTCTCCTGCAAGGAAGCATGATTAGGGGACCCACACAGATGGGGTTCCTCAGTGGGGTAGGGTGGGGAATCACTCACTCACCAGTGAAGACCTCCTGGGCCAGGATGCAGAAGCTGTAGAGGTCTGAAGTGGTGGTAGGCAAGTCACTACAGATCAGCTCAAGTGGCAGCCATGGGTACAGTTCAGGGGGTGGGGGCAGCCCTGGACCTGGGCCTCCCCAGGGGTGGCCCTGCTGCAGCCTGTGGAGTCCAAGCAGACCAGTGAGCAAAACGGCTGCAGGATAGGGACCCGGGGGCAAGCAGGTGGGGCAGGCACCCACCTGGGACACAGCCAGCGCTGCTGTAGTGAACGCCCGTGCTCCAGGTTGCCCACCTTAGCCAGGCCAGGCCGCACCAGCTGCACAGCGTGGGAGCTGAGGCCGCCATGAGCACGGCAGCGGGCTTGCAGGAACAGCAGGGCCTCTAGCACCTGCAGCAGCAGCTGGCCTGGCAGCAGGCCTGGCACAGCCTGGGGCCCCTCCTTACTTTGTCCCCGCAGGTGCAGCATCACATGCAGGGAGCCCAGCCACACAGGCTCGAAGAGAAGGCACAGCCCCGACAGGTCCGCTGAGGGGCTCAGTGCCATCAGCAGCAACAGGTTGGGGTGGTGCAGGGTGCTGGGCAGGAGGACAGCAGGCCACTCATGAGCAAGCCCAAAACCACCTGGTTGGGGGAGCTGCTCCCTGGGTACAGACTACCCACCCTGGGTACCAGCCTTGGACAAAGGAGAATCTGATACGCCAGGTCACAGGGCCTAGTAATGGTAACACCCAGTTAATACCCTGTCCTGCACCTACCTCCTCTCTGAGGCCTACAGGACATTCACACAGAACTGGGTACCCACTCTCCAGAACTGAGGTGGGGATCTGCAAGAGGGCACTATGCCAGGTGCTGGCCCAGAAGTGAAGATGCTAACCATGGCTACGGTGGCCACACTTCCCTGGTCTTCAGTTTTATAAAGCACTTGAGTTGGGCAGGCAGGTGGAAGACCGGCCTATGGAACCAGTGGGCAGAGAAGGCTGGAATGGGGTACCTGCAGTGCCGAAGGTCGGCCAGCAGTACATCAGGCTGGGTTCCAGGGGCCTTCAGCTGCCTCATGGTCACGGAGTGCCCCCTCCATAGGAGGCTGGAGAATGGGGAAAGGGAGGAAGTGCAGGTCTGAGACCAGGGGGGCTTTCCTTGTAAGGGGACTCTGCAAGGGCATGAGAGGGGCTCTCACTTGGCCATGAGGGTGTGGGAGCTGCTCTCGTAGGTTCGGTCAGGCTCACCCTGGGCTGGCAGTAGCTCCTTGGGGTCCGCAAGGGGTACACTCGTTACTAGACCCAGTGGCCACAAGCTGCTCAGCTGGAGATGGGGAGCAGGACCATGAGGCATGAAGATGACAGGGGTAGTTCCATTTCCCCAACCTCCCCCACTTACCTGGCCGAACCCCAAGTTTGGGACCTGGGGGGATCTCCCGATCTGCTCCAGCCTCTGTGCCCTGAGGTAAAGGGCAGGCTTAGGCTAAATCTGGGTAGGTGGTTATGGTGGGTAGGTAGGCTTCAGGGTGTGGACTGTTACCTGTCTGTCTGCCACAATGAAGACAAGGAGCCCTGCAGACTGTTCCCAGATCTGGCCTGCAATTGGCCCAGAGATGTGAGCGCCAGCTCATTGCCATGCACTAATGCCGATATGTGAGCTCGGCAGAGCTGTAACAGCTCCAGCACCTGGATCAGGGCGTGTGGGTGAAGCCAGTGCGGGTGCTGCCCCTGATGCCCCCACCGCCACCTGGGCCATTGCTCACCTCCCAGCTCTGCTTGACACCACCCTGTTCAGCCCAGTCTCGTGGTGTGCGACCCTGCTGGTCATGCAGACGCAAGTCACCTCCCGCCTGCAGCAGGTGTAGCATCACTGGGCTACAGCCGGAGAAGGCGCCCGCATGCACCGGCGTGCTGCCATCAAGGCAGCGGCTACAGTGACACAATAAGGGTGGGAATTGATTAGGAAAGGGATGAAACATGGGCAGAAAGTGGCAGGATTAGGCCCTGGGGATGGGAGGAGTCACTGTGAACATAGGGGTTGGGATTCAGGATAAGAGGAGTCACGTGAGGACACAATGGGGTCTCTGAAGCGAAAAAAAGACCATTGTGAGCAGGGAAGGCCTCAGGAGAATGGGAGTAGTCACGGGGAATGAGAAAAGGTCCAGGAGGGTCCCACCAAGTGGCAGAGGCATCATGAGAGAGAGAAGCCTCAGGGGAGAGGAACCCTGGGAGTATGGGAGCACCAACACCTGTCCACTCACTGGTTGGGATTGGCACCAAAGGCCAGCAGGAGCTGCACAACAGAGGTGTGGCCCAGCAGTGCTGAGAGGAAGAGCCCTGTCTGCCCAGCAGAGTTTTCACCATCTACCTGGACAACTGACAGACAGTGAGCCTTAGGACTCCTGGGGCAGGGGTCCCGAGAGCCACTAGGGAAACACCCTTGCCAATTCCCAGCCTCCACAGTCCCTCCTTGATAAGGTGACCCTTGACTCCAGTTCTGTCTCTATGTCCCAGAACTGCCACCCTCCAGCTGCTGAGGACTCTAACTCAGACTATCTCAACACAGTGTTCCAAAAGTCACCATGATATCCAGAGCTGGAACAAGGGGTAGCATCTACCTGCCATGCAAATGTCCACCTATTCCAAAGGTGTCAGAATCACACAAAGATCCCTAGGTGCCAGGAGGAAGGGGACTTCTTGGGATTTTCATCTTACAGGAGCCTTATGTACTACCAGGCCAGACAGTCTCCACCCAGGGCTGATTCAGCGTTGTACACACAGGTCCCATCAGGCCAGATTCCAATTCTTCAAGGAAATCAAACTCTATGGATTTTATCAGGAAATCCCTCAAGTTTATTTTTGAACACTGCATCTAAGGACTAAGTCCAGGTAGCAACCTCCTCAACACCCCCACCTCCACATCTGTGTCCCTCTCCCCCACGATCACCGTGCTCAGATTCCTCCTTCCAACTACTTTCCTCTGCCCCAGGCCTTGTATATCCCCACACATCATTCCTGAGTTTACTTCCTCCAGCCCCTGTGTCAGGGAGGACTAATGCATAATGTCCTTGTCCTTGTACTCCTGTGTCCTTGGTAGACATGGCTAATTAATCACACACTTGATCCAACACAGCTTGGTCTCAGCCATGAAATTCCTCCAAATGTAGTCCTTCAAGAATCCTTGTGAAGGCTGGACATGGAGACTCATGTGTGTAATCCCACCACTCTGGGAGGCCAAAGCGGGGGGAGCTTAGGAGTTTGAGATCAGACTGAGCAAGATTGAGACCTCATTTCTACTAAAAACAGAAAAACTAGCTGGGCCTTGTGGCAGATGCCTGTAGTCCCCACTACTGGGGAGGCTGAGGCAACAGGATGGCTTGAGCCCAAGAGTTTAAGGTTGCTATGAGCTATGACACCAAGGCAATCTACCCAGGGAGACAGGGTAAGACTCTAGTCTTAAAACAAACAAATGAACAAGAAAGAACCTCTGAACACACCACATTTGCTACATCATATTTTGCTCAGCCCATCATTTTTTTTTTCATCAAGTCCAAAGGCATTACCATCTTTTCCAAAGGCATCCTAAGTGACTTTCTGCACCTCTCTTGCTCCACAGAGATCTCTTCTTAAAGCACAAATCATGTTAAGGACTAGATAATCTTATACGAGTTGCTCCCAAAAAAAGAAAAAGAGAGCAAGGCTCCTTTTGAAAGGCAGTAATGACCTTAACTCCAAAACCTGATGAGAGCTTCCAGAAGTAGAAAATAAGATCATGTATCAATTCCATTTATAATCATATAGGCAAAAGCCATAAATAAAGTTAATGGTTCAATATAAGAAAATCTATCAAAGTAATAAAATCATTCATGAATGGATTATAGAACAAAAATCACATGTGTAACTCAATAGATACAGAAAATGGTCTTGATAAAATTCAATGCCTACTTCTAACTAGGAAAAAAACACCTGAGAAATGTAGATGGAACTCCCTTACTTGCTAAAAGTTATAAACCAAAATCAACAGCAAGAATGATACTTAACACAAAAACAGACTCATTTCCTTTAACATCAAAAACAAAGAAACAGATATCCTCCAACAATATAGTTCAGGAATTCTGGCCAATACCTTACGACAAGAAAAAGAAATTAGAGTTTAACTATTGAAGACTGAAACCAAACTGTCACCACTTGCAAATAGCAAAACAAAAAAACAACAAAAAGAATCAACAATGACAACTATTAAGTTTGGAAAGTGGCCTGATACACTGTCAACTTACCAAAAATCAATGAAAAGGGAAATTGTAAATTGTTAATTTAATGTTCTTTATAATGTTAATTTCCTACTTGCAATGCCAATGGTTCCCCGTGGGATACACAGCAAAAGTCAACACAATGATCACTCCTTTTGAAGCCCTTGGTTGTCTGAACCTGCTGCCTCTTCAGCCCCAGTCCTCTCCCAGAGTCCTGGGCTACTTACACATGCGCAGTTCATGTGATTGACTACACCGCCCTTTGCACAGGTTATCCCCCACTCCAAGAGTCTATCCTCCCTTCTCTCCCCCTTTTGCATGACTGGCTCTTACACTGTAGGGTACAAGTACCACCCCACTTGAAAAGCCATCCTGACCATGCAGTTCACACCTGTAATCCCAGCACTCTGGGAGGCCCAGGTGGGTAGATTGCTTGTGCTCAGGAGTTCCTGACCAGCCTGAGCAAGATCGAGTTCCTGTATCTCCTAAAAATAGAAAACTAGCCAGGCATTGTGGTGGGTGCCTGTAATCCTAGCTACTCAGGTGACTGAGGCAAGAGGATCACTTAAGCCCAAGAATTTGTAGTTGTTGCTGTAAGCATGGCACTCTACCCAGGGAGACAGCATAAGACTGTCTCAAAAAAAAAAAAAAAAAGAAAGAAAGAAAGAAAGAAAGAAAAGAAAAGAAAAGAAAAGCCATCCTATCTGATAGGTCTCCCCCTCATCCCCAGCCTCAGCCTGCCAGCTTTCATTCACAATGATCTAGATGTAACATTCACCCTTAAATCCCATCATGGAACTGAGAGCCTGGCACACAGAAAGTTCCCAGGACAAAACTGTTTGTTGTCTGGCCAACTGAAGCTACACCATCCATACTGCTCCGTGATCCTGCCCCCACAGGCGGTCCCAGCAGCCAGGCCCTCACCTCTGCGCAGGAGCCTGGCCAGGCCCCAGCCTGGGCCGCCAGCCACAGCCAGACGATGAAGACGGCCCACCTGGGTGGTGTCTCCATCCCTGAAGGAGCCCAGCTCCACAGGGAAGCCTGAGGGCAGCAAGGGCATGGGTAGGCTGCAGACTCTGGGTTTCATGAGGGCAGGAGGAAGAGAAGGCTTGGGCCTCTGGGGACAATAAAGCAATAAAGACAGCTGGCTGGGAGCCTAGGGAGGCAGTCTAGATGGGTAGGGGATCTGATGGGAAGTCTGATGAGAAAACAGGCGGGCTCTAAGAGAGCTATCCCCCCAAAGATCAGGGATCTAAGGGAGTGTGAGGGCTGAGAGAAGGTTTTAGGGATGATGCAGAGCTGCAAGGGTAGTAAAGGGCTGCGAGGATAGGATCTGAGCCTGGAGAAGGAATCCGAGGGTGCAGGAGGAGGCTCTGAAGCTTATCAGTTGAAGGATAAAAGGCCTGTGGTTTAGGATCTGAGAGACGGTGAGAGGATCCAAGGTAGGACGTTCCTGAGGGCTGGGGAAAGGGGGCTGAGGAGGGATGGGTGGGGTCTGAGTTCAGTTGGAGGACAGGGGACTAAAGGCAGAACCCCTGGGTCTGCATGGACTGAGGTCTAGGGAAGTGTCCATGTTTGCCGGTGAGTCTACAGGCTGGGGGAAGGGGCTGAGGAAAACCTGGGAGTGAGGGCTGGCTGGTGAAAGCCCCAGGGAACGGAGACAGGGACTGCTAAAGAGGTGGGGTCTGAAAATTGAGGCAGGATTTCAGACTGAGAGTGGACTGAGGGCAGCAAAGGGCTGGGAAAGAAGGGCAGGGTCTGGGGGCAGAGGGGCAGGGGCCTAACATAGCTCCGAAGGCCTTGAAAGCTGGAGGAAAGTTCTCAGGCCCAAACCCCTGACACTGTGGCTTGCACCTACCGTTGGGCTCCATAGTGCTCCGCACGTGACTGTCACGTGACCCCTGCGCACTTGCTGCAATAGGAGCGGGAATGCTAGGCGCATGCGCTTCGGTGGCTTCCTGCAACACTTGCGCAGTACTCAGCCTCCCCAGAGAGCTGTCCCACGGGGTCTGGGACTGACCAGGGGGAGAAGACTGAGGTGTTTGACCTGGAATATTCAGCTGTGCTCTGCATGTTCCTCCCTTGTTGCCTACCCTGAGAACTTTTGGGGGGCGTGGGCCCATCTTGATCCCCATACAGCTGCCCTTGGCTGTCTGCCCGTGCTTCTTACCCACCCTCGCATAGTTTCATCTCCGTCGCTGCTCTAGCCTTTCCCCTGAGCCTCAAGACTAGGAGCCCCTCAAGATGCCACCCTCTGGACGTTCCCCAGATGCTGTCACACCATGCAGGTCCTACATTGGCTTAAGAATCTCCCCCAAACTGTGTTTTTCCCCCCTCTCCATGTAGGGTGGCTCCACTGTGCCCCTTTGCAAAACAGAGTCCTGATACTCACCCTGGACATCTCTTCCCCTGTCCTGTCAGCCCCATAGCCCACTCTCTCAGCCACTTGGCTGTCCTTTCTGCTAGCCTCCATCTGACCTCCCTGCAGCCCAACCCTCTCCCACCCTCCCTTGGGCTCCCAACCTGTCTCCACTTTCTAGGCCCTCCCCTGTCTGAAACCATCCTGAATCTCTAGTGCCCAGGGACAAAGACCACGCCTTGCAGTCTGGCATCTCAGACTGCATCATCTGGGCCTGCCCACCCTCCGTTCTCGTCTACCCACTCCCCAATGTGTGTCACACACTGTGTGTGCACGTGCCCTTGCCTTCGAATGCTCACCTCATTCTTCACTGGTCATTCTTATCAGTTCTCTGGGATGCCCTCTTGATCACCCCCAGTGTGGGTCAGGGGCCTCCTCTGACCTCCCACAACCCCCTAGGCTTCCCCAACAGAGCCCTGACTACTCTGTCTGGGCTTCTCCCATCACATCCTTGATCACTCTAGGCTCTCACAGTCTGAAGATGGGTTGTCTCCCCTCACCAGACTTAGAGCCCTGTGAGGGCAGGGCCTGGGGTTGCATTGTTCATCTCAGACCCTAGCCCAGAAGGGGCTTTATGCAATGCTTATTACTGAGAGTGTGGTTTGGCTCTTCTTTATGTCCTTCCCTGCACATGTGGCCTTGGTTCAGCTTCTTGGCTTTCATGGCTTGGTTTCTGCTCTTCATCTGGGCATTCACTGGGGCGAAGAAAGTTCCTGCATCAGTCACTGACCAAGCCCATCCAAAGACAGACTACTTCAGAGTTGAGGAGAGGCCTCCTTAGTCCTCAATCAATGCCCTTACTGCACTCTAGGGTCATCTCAAGATCTCTTGAGCTGCAGAATCCCCTAGCTCAGGTTGACTGAGGTCAAGATGAGTCCTTCCTTAAGGAGGTGACTTCAATGCAGCACAGCAGCCTGGGAAATAGCTTGGGACCTTTATTGACCACATGACTCCCAGGGGTGCTAATGGTGTACCTTTAGGCCTCCCCCCAGCAGCCGCCTCCTCAGTTCTTGGCTGAGCAGTTCTCGTTCCCTGCGGGCACCCTGAAGCACACTCCGGTTCTCCTGGGCCCTCCGGATCAGGTAGGGGATCACCTCCTCCAAGGAGCCATAGGGGATGGACTTATATACTGCATAGCCAGCCTGTCCTGGGGGGAGAGTGTTGGCAGCATATGGACTAGAGATTAAGGGAGGCTTCCCATTCCCCACCGGAACAGAGATTTCCATTTCCAAGAACATAGCAGACTAGGTGAATTGGACAAAATTTCTCACTGAACGAACTAAAAATCCTGGAGGAAATAGTTTTAAATATTCTTAAAGTGATTAAAAATGCCAATTGAGTAAGGAGTTTATAACTCCAAGAATTAAGAGAAAGTGCAAACTCATAGAGGGAAGGGAAACATAGGCAGCCACTTCTTCCCTGAATGCAAAATTGAGCTGCTATTTGATGACTTCACTCAGTTGCAGGGGTACTGTCGAGGGTCAAGCCTGACAAAAGTGAGTTGTAAGAGGAAACTGTTCCCCAAATTAAGCTGCAACCCAGAGAAGTTACACCCTTGGTCAATCCTTCCTCCCTTTCCTCACACCCAGAGAATGGCCATGAGCACACCAGGGGAGAAAGCATAAAAATCCATCTTTGGGAAGCAGTTAGCCCATGGGTTAGCCCCCTCACATACAGTAGAAGAACCTCTGTAAGTTGGCCCCCCAAGGGACTAAAACAAACTGGTCAACATAAGGAACTAGGCCTATGGTACTGATATGTGCATGTGGTGCATGTCTGGTCTATGAAAATCAGGTTAACTTAAGAAGGTGGTCAATGTAGGGAAGAGGTCAACTATGGAGGTTCTGCTGTATTTGCAACCCAAATTTGAATCACTGGGATGTCTCAAGAAACCTCAAGCTGTGAATGTAGGATAAAGGGATTTTGTACCTCTTAGCACATGGCAGAAGAAAATATAAATCATCCAGTCTCAGGCCCCGTGGAGCAGCACGATAGAGATAACAAACCACACAGGAAACAAGACACCATGATAAAGAACCAGCAGAAACAACAGACAGCAGACACAGAGACACAGCCCTGCAAGGCCCTAGATACTGGACTAGCAAATTTATCCAGAAGGGTCTGCTGGGCCAACAGCAGGCTGTGGATAGGAGCCTGGCCAGGCCTTAGGTGAGAATAGCAGAAGGATCTAGCTGACAGGAAGGAAGGCCTGGGGTTGGGGGTGGGGTTGTGAAGTGAGGGATGCGCCGTTCACATACCCAATGCCAGGGAGATGTGGTCACACATGCCCAGGAGTTGTCCAAAACACACAGGCCCATTCAGAGGAATGCCCAGCTCCCACATGCTACAGAAAAGCCACATCATCAATCTAGGCAGTGGCTGGATCCAGAGCTGCATATCTATTGAAGTATTTCCAAACTCCATGATAAATAACTACATTTTGAGTCCCTTGGAAGCCCCCCAATTAGTTCCAGCCACTTCTTTGGAATGCTCAGACCTCCCCATGGCCCAGGAAATAAGAGACAATGCCTTGTCCATCTAGGGCCTACAAAGCTTCAGGCATACCAGGGGTCAAATATCTGTAACATCCTCCCCAGAACACCTCACCATTCCACCTCCCCTGGCACAGTGAGCAAGCAGGAGGAAGGGAGGGGGCCTTCTTGTGGGTTCCTGTTTCCCATCCCCCACCTCATACCGCTTGGTCGCCTGGTGAACTGACTCCTCATTGTGGGAAGCCACCATGAGGTGGCACATGGGGCCGTGGTGGGACACCTGGGTCAGCATCAGCTCCAGACAGCGGCTGTAACTGAAGGGGGGTGCGCATTTCAGCTCACCTGGTGAGTGAGGGTCAGGGCCCTGGAACTTGGGGTGGGATGTGCCTCAGGGGCTCGGTTCCATCTGCACCCACTGCAAGGGATGTCCCTTCCCTGACCCACTTTGTTTTTTATTTTATTTTATTTTATTTTAGACAGAGTCTCACTTTGTCACCCTCAGTAGAGGGCTGTGGTATCACAGCTCACAGCAACCTCAAATTCTTGGGCTCAAGTGATTCTCTTGCCTTCAGCCTTCCAAGTAGCTGGGACTTCAGGCATCTGCCACAACGCCCAGCTATTTTTTAGAGATAGGGTCTCACTCTGGCTCGGGCTGGTCTTAAAGCCTGTGAGTTCAGGCAATCCACCCACCTCAGCCTCCCAGAGTGCTGGGATTACAGGCGTGAGCTACCATACCTGGCCCCCTGAGCCACTTTGTAACAGTATGAATTCGCTGACTGCTATGAGGATGAAGTGAGATGAGGGTGTGTATAAGGTCTGGCAGAATGGCAGTCTCACAGCAAAGGGTCACATCACACACACGAGGTGACGTTTACCCAAGGCTGTTCGCTGCAGCATTGTCTACAGATCATGATCAGCAACAACTCAAAAGTCCCTACATAGGGAGCTGCCTAAGTGATGTATGGCGCAGAGAGGTCAGGGAAGTCCCACACAGCTATAAAGAAGAATGAGGCGCTGACACAGAAAGGTAAATAGACTGGCCAGTGCTTTCCAAGCTCGCTGTAGCCTGCATGCTACCCTGTGAATGTCACAGGCTGTGCAGGGCACTCTCCATTGCCCCCATATCTGTTAACTGCCCCTCAGGCTGTTATGTGCAGCATCACCCCTGGAATCACGTGCAGGATATCAGAAGGGGGAAGGAGGGAGAACGCGCCTCCCTTGCTCTCTTTGTGGCCACAGCTCCACTAGGGTGGCCTGTCTCCCTCAGCTATAGCATAGAGGTCGAAATACTTCCTGCTCTTGTGAGTTTTGGGGTACCTCAACATTCCTGTGGGGAAGTTCCCCCAACCTAGCCTGCACTTCTATAAATAGTCTCATCACTACATTTCCCTTAGTTAAACCCCTTTGCATGGAATTCTGGAATTCTCTTTCCTCTGAGAAGATCTAGTTGCTCATCTAATTCTCAAATCAATGCTATGAGGTAGATGTTTTTATTATCTCTATTTTACAGAGAGGGAGAATGAAGCTGAAAGGGTTGTCACTTGTCTCCAGGTCACACCACCAGCCATGGCTAAGCAGGGATTTGAATTCAGGCTGTCCGATGCTCCAGAGCCTGGCTCATTCTCACTGGACTGTCCTGCCTTTAAGATATACACTTGAGGCTCGGCGCCTATAGCTCAACCGGCTAAGGCGCCAGCCACGTACACCTAAGGTGGCGGGTTCGAATCCCCAGCCCGGACCCGCCAAACAACAATGACG